TCCAAGCGGAGGTAAACATTAATAGTGTACCAAATCACCAAGTGGTCCTGAGGAAAATTGGGAAGGAGATCCATGTGGTCCTGAGGCCTACATTTGGGAAGGTCTAAATTGTACTCATGATGGCCAGAGTTTCACCAAGATCACAGTCCTGTAAGTTTGTATTCCCCAAATTAATGTTATCACTTTATGAAACTTGAATTAGAACTTCTAATAATATTGGAAAAGTCAAACAGGAATTTGTCTTCAAGTGGATTGATAATAGTGTACCAAATCACGAGTTTTTAATTGATAATTATCTATTTACGGTGAAGCATGGGCATGATATTGATTTTCAGGTTAAGCTTTTAATGAGAGTTCATCACAGAAATTTGACTTCCCTTGTTGGGTATTGCAATGAAGAAACCAACAAAGGGCTCATATATGAGTACATGGCTAATGGCGACCTACAAGATTACCTGTCAGGTTTGTTGGTGCAAATCAATTTTCAATTAGCTTACAGTCTGGAAATGGGGAAAAAAAAATAACAGTACATATAGAAAGTCACAGAGTTTGATTCAGCAGGAAAAGACAAACAAACCAAAGTTCTTGACTTGGGAAGACAGACTTTGTATAGCACTGGATGCAGCATTAGGTCAGAAAATCAACGAAGTTATTTGTGTCTTCGATTTTCACTGCTCGAGTCTTTCTAATTCAATGCTATTTGGTATAAATTTTGGCTCAGGGTTGGAGTATCTGCATAATGGATGTAAGCCACCTATAATCCACAGAGATGTAAAATCTTCAAACATCTTGCTGAATGAAAACTTCAGAGCAAAAATAGCTGACTTTGGTCTATCTAAAACTATCCCAAGTGATGGTGGAACTCACGTGTCAACTGTCGTTGCCGGTACTACTCCGGGTTATCTAGACCCTGAGTAAGTCTTTACAATCATTATCTTGCTTTACTGTTCTCGTGCTTTTGCTACACAAAAAAGATAATTAGTTATTCTATGTTATTTTGGTGGTTTTGATCGTGAAAGTAAATAAACTCTAAGTTATTTTGTCTTCTTTGTTTTGTAGGTATTATATAACAAATAGATTGACAGAGAAAAGCGATGTTTTTAGTTTTGGAGTAGTTCTTTTCGAGATAATCACAAGTATGCCAGTCATATCAAGAAACCATGAGAGAACTCACATAAGTCAATGGGTTAGCTCCATGGTCGCTAAAGGGGATATAAAGGCCATTGTTGACTCAAAGTTCGGTGGAAACTTTGATGGTAACTCAGTTTGGAGAGCAGTGGAATTGGCAATGACTTGTGTGTCTCCAAACCCCAATAACAGGCCAAGCATGAGTGAGGCAGTGAATCAGCTGAAGGAATCTTTGGCAACAGAAGTAGCAAGAACCAAACACAATAACAGTGGTCATACAGGAGATTCAGTTGAATTAGTGTCCCTGAATATGACAAGTTCAGAATTCTCTCCCTTGGCCAGGTAGTAGCTTGCCTCATACCAGAAGAATGAAGTTAATGTGAAACTTTTCAAGAAGGATTGAAGTCAGTAAGAACATAATTTGGGTTTGACTCTATTTTCTAAATAATCTTGATCGAATCCAATCAGAAGTTGTTGTTGTGGTAATTTAACATGCATGCTAAATTATTTTGTATTACTAAAACCTAGATTTAATACTAGTTGATTATGAGTTCGCTGCGCCACTAGGTAATCTTTGCTTCTTATGTATTTTATATGCTGTAGATCAACTTAATCACATTAAGTTGCTTCAGTGAATATTTAGCTTCTGTTTTAAATGTTTATTCCCTAGTGAATATGTAAGTTGGAGAAGAAATTGTTATATTAAGTATGTTTAAAAATAGTATACTTTATTAAAATAATTTAAGGCATTTGATTAAATACTTTTCAAGCTTAATATGTTTTATGATCTATTTTCTAATTTTTTTTGATGTGAGATTTCTTTTATCTTCTAATGTTCTTTTCACTAATTTTTTCTCCATTTTTTTTCATATTCTTCTTCTTCTTCTTTCTTCTCTTTCTCTCTCTTTGGTTTTTGATCTCAACAGCTTGAGATATTATGTAAGATTTCTTATATTAAATACATATAAGGGTAATATATACTTCACCAAAATAATTTAAACCATTTAGTTAGATATCTTTCAAATTTTATATTTATAATCTATGTTTTAATTTTTAGACATAAGGTTTCTTTTATCTTCTAATAGAAATGTAAATGTTGATGAAAGAAAATCAATGTGTAGTTTCTCTCTTATATATGTTAAAACTATATATGGTGGATGTGGGAATGCAATCTTTTCCTCCTTAAATTGGGCCTAACTAGTAATTTGGTTGGCACAAAATTGTTTAAACTAATGAATCTGTGAGTGTATGAGTCATATCATTAATATTAAAATTAATTTATGTTTAATGCAATTTAAATGTCATACTATAAGTGATATAATACACCCGATTTATCTAAAAAAATTTTTCTGTTGAGATCAAACAGGAATAAATTATGAGCTATTGGGAAAGCTAAAGTATAGATTCTAGATTTCAAGTGGTAACTTGGATTTTTATAGCCTGTGTCACATACTTCTTTTTATCTTATGCTAACCTTAAGTTAATCCACTCCATTGCACGGGCATCTAACAAAATATTTTTAACAGTGTTAAAAATTAAATTGAAGCGTTAGTTTTAAAAATAAAAGATAAGTATTTCCATATATGTAGTTTTAAACAAAATTGAAGAGATGTTCTTATATTTTACTCTTATTTAAAAAACAGTTATTTATTAAAAATATGTTATTTGAGAATGATGACATGATTAGCAAGTTGTTGTGTCTCGCTCGTAACGATATTTAATGTTACAAGGCTTGAAAATGGTAAACTTTCAAATTATATGGAAACAAGTTTTCGATAACTTCATAGATTGAGATGCTTATTAGTCAATCACACATTATTTTGCTTAGAATAAGGATAAAATGTAGTTGACTAGATGCATTTTATTCTCATGTCAGCTTGCGGCTTACCATCCCCTATGACCACCAATCCCATCATGTTCTCGCACGATCTCACGTCCCCACAAATACCTCTTAAAGAGTTTGTTGAATTTACATGGTTTTAATATTATTAATTTGAATTTTAATAATTTAAAAGTTACATGTATTTAGTGCTTGTATTAAATACAGTCGTTAAATTCAAATCTGTTTTAATTAGGGACAATGACACTTAAGACCCTTTTAAAAAAAAATTATTGCAATAAGAACCCACTAGTTTTGCATAAGATTTTGTCTTGTTAAAATACTGTATGTTATTGTTAAAAGCTGATATTTAACTTGTTAAATTTTTAAGAAAATTCTAACAAAAAATATAAGTCAAGATTCAATTTTTAACAATAACATATAAATATTTTTTAAAACAATATTTAATGCAAAATTGATCGGATCTTAATGTGATAAATTGTTTTAAGAGGACTTTATTCTCCCTAAAGAAATGTTATATTGCGTACTATAAATTTTATACTGCATACTATTATAAAATATTGAGTTAAACTGTCATCGATTTCGTTACTTATTGTTGATTTGTTCTATTGTTTTATGCTTTCACTCCTTGATGACATTTTAGTTCTAAACATCTTCAATAAATGTACATCACATCTAATAAACATCACTGAATTCTTGGTCAAGTAGAAAGAGAAACTAATCTTCTCAATGAAAAAAATGATTTTTTTTCTCTTTTTGCTAAAAAAAAAAAAAGAAAAATGATTTTTTTGGCCATACCTAATAAATAATTTGATAACTATTATAATTTTAATCAGGGCACTTTCTTTCGTACATCCCTAATGTGTTTTTTAATGGCTTGGAATGAAAGGATCCAGGCAACAAGGCAGGATAATAAATATTTTGTTTGACCAAGTCAATCGATTTCTCGCGGCTTAAGTGAGGATTAGCAAAAGATGAAAAATCAATACTCTCTTTATTTCTTTTTTTATACGACATCTTTAAAATACTATAATTTTTTATTTATACATTTAATTTGTTAAATCTAAATAGTAATTAATATTTTTGAAAATTTCCTTGAAAAAGTGCCTTTAATTAAGTAATCGAGGGATATTGAGAGAGAGAATGATATTTAATGAAGTACATTTACGATTTCAAGACATAAGCTAATTTCCGGTAAAATAAAAAAAAGTCTTTTAAAAAAATAGAAAGAATGTCAAATACACGAGTTGCTTCGAGAAGTTAATTTGTACAGTCAATTGCTTCCAATTAAAACTTGTAAAATGTGGTTTTAGAAACATCCCAACATCTTCCGAGTCTTGAACAAGGGATCTTCAAATGTCCTCAGTCATAGCCTCAAGCCGTCAACTCACACACTGCACTCATCTCTATATCTTTTGCTACAATCTTCCTCCTAATTTTCTTTGAGAGGTATTGTTAAATATATTTATTATATTCTTAGTAATAAACCTAGAAAAACTTTAATTGAAACTACCATCATGTAAATGTCTACCTATGATTGATTGAGTCCAAGCTATTTTTTTGAGTCGAACGCGGGGCAAAGCCTCAACTAAATTATTCCACTAGAAATAAAATGAGGACAATTAACCTCTAAAATATCTTGATACAACCAGTTCAATAACTCATGAGAAGGCTCCATACTAACAATGCATCTCCAATCTTTCTTAATGCCATGATTAGCAATGCATCTCATGAGGAGCCTGCCTATTTTTATCAGTAAATCCATTTAAGAATTTATGTTTGTATGGAAGGGGTAGACCCTAGTAGTTTGAGATTACAAGCGGGATAGAACCTGCGACCTCTCATAGGAAAACTTGCATGACACTAAGCTACATGATCATCAGCAAATCCATTTAGGAATTTTTAAAAGGAGTAAACCATGTGCCACCTGGGTGACATTGACTGAGCCATAAGTGTAAAGCACTTTTTCTTGTATAAGTACCAAACATCCATGTCATTTTGTCACTCACGTTCTTGTCTTCCTAAACAAGAGGGTATTATGCAGAAAGTCATGGGAATGTCAAAGAGCTTCTTCTCTTTTCTCTCAGGTTATCTGGTTCTTGCAGTTATGGTTCAATCTCAGGATCAATCAGGTAATTTGCCACCAAAAGAACTCATAAACTCAATTACATTACTATTTAACAAGAATTAACCTTTGCCTCTACATTTGTTTCAGGATTCATAAGCATAGATTGTGGAGCACCTGCCAAGTCCACCTACATTGAGAAGACAACAGGCATACATTATATATCAGATGACAAGTTCATAAATTCTGGAGTAAGTAACTCCATAACCACTGAGTTCCAAAGAGTGTATCAACAGCATATTTGGAACCTGAGAAGCTTTCCTCAAGGAACAAGAAACTGTTACGAAATAAACATCACAAGAGGCTCTAAATATCTGATCAGGGCTACTTTTCTGTATGGGAATTATGATGGCCTGAATGAGTTACCAAGTTTTGATCTTCATCTTGGGCCTAACCTCTGGGAAACAGTCAAAATAACCAATGAATCTGTGCCAATATTTCCTGAGATCATACATGTTCCATTATTAGATTACATTCAAATCTGTCTTGTTGACACAGGCTCTGGAACCCCGTTTGTTTCTGCTCTAGAATTAAGGACCTTGATTTCTATGAATGGTGTTTATAATACTCAGTCTGGATCCTTGTCACTTTACTCGAGGTTCGATTTAGGCTCAACAAGCAACAGAACATACAGGTAAATTCTTTCTTTCTTTTTATAAATTTTTTTTATAAAATTTTTGAAGGAGTTTGTTCACTTTTACTTATTTCCATAACTAGATCAACAGGCTCTAAATCAAGTGATTAAAGTTGTGATCCTGCACTTCATCTTTACATGATAAAAATTCTGTAAAGCTGATAAGAGAATGACTTGGGCACAGGTATAGTTATGATGCTTATGATCGCATATGGCAATATTTCTACCACAAGGACTGGAAGCCAATAAGCGCTTCAATTTCTGAAGATTCCTTAACTCAAAATTATTTCAAACCACCAGCTATTGTTATGAGTACTGCAGCCACACCAATAAATGAAAGTTCTCCAATGTTAGTGGATTGGGAGCCAGAAAATGCAACAGACCAATTCTATATTTACATGCATTATACAGAGCTTCAAGTATTAAAAAAGAATCAGACAAGATCATTCAACATTACCCTCAATGGAGAAATGTTTTTCCCCAAGGTTGTACCTAAGTATGGGGTCACAAACACAATGGCCAACGTTGAAGCTATTAGTGGAGAAAAAATTCAGTTTTTGCTTCAGAAGACGGAGGATTCAAACCTCCCGCCTATTCTCAGCGCTATTGAAATTTATAAAGTTCAAAAAATTTCCCAGACAGAAACAGATCAAGGAGATGGTACGTTCTGAAAATATAAACTTTTCAAAGAAATCTTTGGTAGAATCAAGAATAGACATGTTAGAGATGCATATTAATTACCTGTTTCTTTATGACTAATTTAGTCTACTTTTTTTATTTTATGGACAGAATTTTTCCTAAAAATTCTTTAGTTTTTCAAAGAATCTGGTAGAGTAGAGACATGATATAGATTAACTTGTTTTTTTTTTTTTTTTTTGAGAAATAGTTGATGCAATCTCAACAATCAAGTATTCCTATGGGGTGACAAGAAATTGGCAAGGAGATCCATGTGGTCCATTGGCCTACATTTGGGAAGGTCTAAATTGTACTTATAATGGTCAGAATTCACCTAGAATCACAACCCTGTAAGCTTGTTTTGCCTAAATTAATATTATCACTTTACGAAACTTGAATTAGAACTTGCAATAATATTGGTAATCCAAAGCAGGAATTTGTCTTCAAGTGGACTGGCAGGACAGATAGATCCCTCCATCTCAAAGTTCACCATGTTGGAGAAATTGTGAGTATTTTTCACCTAAGCCTGTTCCAACTTTTCTTTTAGAAAGATAACCTTGATCCTGAGTGGGAGATAAAATTTCTTGTTTCAGGGATTTATCAAACAATAGCTTAAATGGATCAGTGCCTAATTTTCTTTCTCAACTGCAAAACCTGAAGATCTTGTAAGTTGTTTGTTAATTAATTGAACAACAATAAGATCTCATAGGTTAGAAAATGGAAAAGGCTGTTATAGCCCGATTGATTTTGCAGAAACCTGGAGAGCAACAACTTCACAGGTACAGTTCCCACTGATCTGATTGAGAATTCAAAGAAAGGTTCCCTGTTACTAAGGTATGGCTCTAAATTGAAATCCTAACATCCAAGAAACTACTTTTACATGAATTTAGGACACACAACATATAAATGTTTACATCTCTTAGGCAATGTTTGGCACATGGAAAAATGTTTTCTAGAAAGGAAATGAAAAATGTACATAGAAAGAAATTGGAATAGGTGCATTTCCTTTTTAAATAGCATTTTTCTACCTACCAAATATTACAATCTCTATATCATTGAAATTAACAATTGGTGTCGCCTAGGGCTTAGACATTTGTTGATGTCTAAGATTGAGCTATAGAGTACATGCAATATTTATTGACAGATGAACATAATAACCTCTCTGAATCTCCATGCTAGTGTTGGACAAAATCCATATCTATGTGAATCTTCTTCGTGCAACAAGAAAAAGAACAATATTATTATTCCCATAGTAGTACCAGTTGGTGGAGTTCTGATCCTTCTGGTAGCCGCAGCAGCAATATTTTCTACAATTAAAAGGATAAAACGAAGAGGTGAGGCTGCTCTTTATCATTTACAAACACATACAAAATTTTGGTTGATTATGTGAAAGAACAAAGAAAAAGCTTTTTTTATGATCTCATATTATTAACAGGCTCAATTGAGACCTCACAGCAAGTTGAAAAATTTGAAGAACAGAATGATACATATCTGCAAGCCACCAAGAGACAATATCCATACCCTGATGTCCTCAAAATGACCAATGACTTCAGCACAATTCTAGGAAAAGGTGGGTTCGGCACAGTTTATTTGGGTTACATTGATGAAACTCCAGTTGCGGTTAAAATGCTCTCTCCATCATCAGTTCAAGGTTATCAGCAATTTCAAGCAGAGGTAAAAATTGATAGTGTACTAAAGCACATGATTTTTAATATATACATATATATATGGTTTTAAGTATGAATGTGATATTGATTTGTAGGTTAAACTTTTAATGAGAGTTCATCACAGAAATCTGACTTCCCTTATTGGGTATTGTAATGAAGAAACGAATAAGGGGCTCATATATGAGTACATGGCTAATGGTAACTTGCAAGAGCATCTTTCAGGTTTGTCAGTGAAATTTCTAATAGTCCAGAAATGGAAAACATTAAGCATAGAAAGTTACCAAGTTTTATTCTGCAGGGCAAGACAGAAAAACAAAGTTACTGAAATGGGAAGACAGACTTTGTATAGCACTGGATACAGCATCAGGTCAGAAAATGAACCAAAGTTATTTGTGCCTTCACTTTTCACTGCTCAAATCTTTCTAATTGAATATTATTTGCCATTAATTTTGGCTCAGGGTTGGAGTATCTGCATAAGGGATGCAGGCCACCTATAATCCATAGAGATGTAAAATCTTCAAATATATTGCTGAATGAAAACTTCAGTGCAAAAATAGCTGACTTCGGTTTATCTAAAACTATCCCCACTGATAGTGGAACTCATGTGTCAACTGCTGTTGCTGGTACTCCTGGTTATCTCGACCCTGAGTAATTCCTTCCAATCAATATCTTGCTTAATCATTTTTATTATTTGATTACCGAAAAAAAGAGATAATTTCTCTTCTTTTTGTCTTGTAGGTATTATATAACAAACAGATTGACAGAGAAAAGTGATGTTTTTAGTTTTGGAGTGGTTCTGTTGGAGATAATCACAAGTTTACCTGCCATATCAAGAAACCACGAGAAGACTCACATAAGTGAATGGGTCAGCTCCATGGTTGATAAAGGGGATATAAAGGCCATTGTTGACTCAAGGCTAAGTGGAGACTTTGACAGTAACTCTGTTTGGAGAGCTGTGGAAATGGCAATGACTTGTGTGTCTCCAAACCCCAACAACAGGCCAACCATGAGTGAGGTGGTGAATGAGCTAAAGGAGTGTTTGGAAACTGAAGTAGCTAGAACCAAAAATAATGGTGCTCATACAGGAGATTCAGTTGAATTAGCATCCCTGAATATGACAAGTTCAGAATTCTCTCCCTTGGCCAGGTAGTAGCTTGCCTCAGACAAGAAGAATGAAGTTAATGTGAAACTCTGCAAGAAGCATATATGTGAGGACAAAGTTGGTTTTAGACCCTATTTTCTAAATAATTCCTAAATCAAGGCAATCAGAAGTTGCTGTTCTGGTAATTTACCCTTTGAATCTGTATACACTTTCTCTCTTATCATGAAACTATCTGGACGTGGGAATGCGATGATGTTGCTGTGGAAAAAGTGGCTTGTTGCTTTGAGGTTAGAGCATTGCATTGCTATTTGCCATGACTTTTCTTCATGCTCCTTATTCTCTCTACAGTGCGGCAAGTCACTTGTTTTCTATTAAAAATGTTGATATTAAATGTTTTTTCATTAAAAGTAATTTTTCATTAAATGTAATTTTTCATTTTTCACTTGTTATTCTCTCTCCTCCATGGCAGTGCGGCAAGTCACTTGTTTTCTATTAAAAATGTTGATGTTAAATGTTTTTTCATTAAATGTAATTTTTAATTAGATTGTTACCAATATTTTTAAATTAGATCACACAAACTTCTTTCCTTAAAAAATGTAAAGCATTTTTAACTAAATTACACCATTAATAAAGTAGTTACTTATTTTCAAACTGACTCTATCTTTTCATATTTATCCTAATTTAATAGAGTGTTTTATCCTAAAATAAATATAAATTAATTTATTCAATAGGGGTACTTTTGAAAAAAAGCAATGATACATCTTGAAAGACTAAAAATACTTTATATTTTAGAACATATAACACTTCAAAAAATGTCTTATATTTTTGAACGGAGGAAGTATAAGATATGATATTTAGTGTATATCTATATGGTGCATTATATATATATATATATGTATGTATGTATGTACAAGGAAAATATTTTGTTATCTAATATTTTTATAATTTATTAATTTATTTTAGCTTTTTAAAATTGAACATTTTGTAATTTATATTTAAATTTTATAATTTATTTTATATTTTTTAATTCTATCTTTTAAAAAAATATAATTTCAAGTTTAATATTTTTTCTCAAAATTATTAAATTAGTCATAAAAATATATATAAGAAAACTCATATTCATTTTTGTCATTATACATCTCAATAGGCCTCTAAATCAAATCATTTAAACGTATTTTAATTTATTCAACTGACTTATGAAAAAAAAATCCAAATATAAATTACATTAAAATTAGAAGCTTTTTTTCAATCTCAGTTTGCTAACTTTGATTCTAACGTTAGTTGAAATTTTTTTTATCCAAACACACACTTAATTAAAGTTATGATGTTTTTTGTACTGTAATTTTTTGCAATATTGCACGTAAATCAAACCCCTAACTCTTTTTTATATCAAAATATTTTTCATTTAACAACTGAAAGTGAACTAATAAAAATCTTGCGAGTTGAATGGAGGACGTTTTGAGAACATTTATTGGTGATTTTTCAGTTTTATCATTTAAATGGGCATATTTTCTTGAGCATGTTGTAGATTTTGCATTTCTATTATTCAAATTAACAAGTAATTTTAGCACAGATAAAAATTTCAAAAACAAGTAAAACTCAATTGAATCATTTATTTTAATTAATTATTATGCATTTGAAAGAAAAAAGACAGAAAGGTTATAAAAGCAATGGGTTTTTGGCTGGGTGAAAAAAAATCATTTGTTTTGTTTTGAAATACACCGCCAAAAAGGAAAAACGAAGAAATACAAGTGATAGATGTATTATTAGTGACTAATGCTGACTGATCATACTGATTTGTGTAGCTGAATTATAAGCTAAACGGCACATACCTCATTGCTAAAGTTGAAAAATAGGTGAGCCCAGTCTGAGGGGTGCACATGGACAGGGCTGGGCTGGGCTGGGCAGGAACCTGCCTGATGCCCAGCCCGAAGAATGAATGGGCTACAAAATGTAGCTCGAAGCCCAGCCCTGCCCACAAAATGCCCTATTAGTTTGGGCTGGGCTGGGCTGATTGGGCAGTTTTGCCCAGCCTATCAAATAATCGCCCTACCCATTAAATCACAACTCTTCTTATCATTTTGAAATAAAACTTTCACAAATCAACAATAGTCTTATGCATCAACTCAAAATAGCATCCATAAAGTCAAAAACCATAAATCCACAATAATGATAACAGTCACAATATCTAATTATCCATAATTCAACACCCTACTTGAAAATAAGTCTTGGCACAATATCAAATTATCCATAATTGAATTCAAAATAACAGCTATGATCATTGAAAACAACAAATTTTACAAAAGCTTGGAGCATCATATGAGAAACAGCAATTTGAAAGAGTAGACTCCAATTAACAAAAGACTTCTTCCTAACTCTCAACCTGCATGAATGGAAGAGGAAAAATATGTCATAACTAAACAGATTAAAATCCTTATTCAAGGAAAATGCATAGTAAATCTTGAATGGAGTAAAAGGAAACTCACATGCAAGCTAACATTTGCTTTGGAATGCATCAGATCTGCCCTCCTCTAGATAAAAGGGGTTAAAAGAAATGGAATCTGCAGTAGCCAAAGCATAACTTTGGTAAATAGCAAAGCAGAATAAAGGGGGCCAGCAGCGGGCATACATGGATAAGGGACCTAACACTAATGTTCACTTCATCCAATTTAACCAAATTTACACACTTGCTATTTAATTTTTCAAAGAGTTAATAAAGGGTCAAGATATACTTGTAAAGAAACACTTCAAAATCAACACTAGTAGTCGCATTCTCCCCTCCAAGTGTTGCATCTAAAGACAAAAAAAATACATTAATATAAAAACTAAAATAAAGGATGTATGTGTGCATGTGTAAACTTTAGAAAAAAAAATTGTTACTTGTAAGCTGAATAATATTTTCTATCTCATTAAAGTTATCAAACTCATGGAGCTTATCAACTAACTCAGATAGAGATTGCCCACTTTGCAGCCAATTTTGCCCACAAATCAATACTTCTATCATTTTAGGAGATAAAAAACTCCTATATTGATCAACTACACGTCCACCAGTACTAAATGCAGACTCAGAAACCACTGTAGAAATTGGCATAGGCAATACATCTCGTGCCATGTGGGAGAGAATTTTATATTTTTCAGAATTTGCTTTCCACCATGATAATATGTCAAACTCAGAATCAGATGATGAGATTTTAGCTCTAGAATCAATTGCAAGATATCTATCTAGCTCACTTTGTGGATCTATTGAAGTTCTTTTCTTCAAAGACTCTAACCACATTGCCCCTGAATTGTCAATGTCGTCTTCATCATCATCATTAAGAGAGGGCAATAAACTTGTAGATGCATTACTAACATGGGTAGGCCTTGATTCAGTAGAAATCCCAATAGAATACTCATCAAACAATCGATACAAACAAGTTTTGACCTTATCCATCATCAATGCACATTCTTCAAGGTTATTGAAAAGGAGTTCAAACATGTGATTTACATAAACTAATTTGTACCGAGGATCTAAAATCACAGCCACAATCAATAATAGATTCATATTATCTGCCTAACCCCAATACTTATCAAACTTCATATGCATCTTAAAGCTCATATCTGCCAAAAAAGTATTACCACTATTTCCAATATGCTTCTGCAACATCTGCTGAACATGAGCAATTTGATGAAAACAATCATTTGATGTTACAATAAGGGAGCTTGAAAATTTCAAAGTTATGTCATAAAAGATATTTAAGAATTTGATGAAGCTTTAGCTTTTTTCCAATCATCAAGAATAGGGCAAGAGAAAACACCTACCTCTTACTTAGAGTTAAAGAATGTAATATAGTCATCATCTTCATCACGCATCCGCTCAAACACCTTTTGAAACTTCATTGCATCTTCTAACATCAAATATGTTGAATTTCATCGAGTGCTAACATCAAGGCAGACAAGGCTCTTAGTTTCTATATTTTCAAATTCAACCCAATTTTTAAACTTTAAAAACCGTGAAGGAGAAGACCAAACATATCTCACAGCACTTCGAATGGCTTTAAAACTATCTTTCATGTGTTTGATGCCTTCATTGACCACCAAATTAAGAACATGTGCACAACATCTTAATTGTAGATAATCTCCTCCACAAATTAAGCCCTTCCAACTTCTCAACCTCCTTTTAAGATATCCTAAAGCCGTGTCATTAAATGAAGCATTATCCATAGTTATGCTAAACACCTTATCAATACCCCAATCCAACAAGCATTGCTCAATGGTCTTCCCTATAGTCTCACCTTTATGATTTTCAATCATAATAAAACTTAGGATTCTTTTGTGAAGCTTTCATTCATTGTCAATAAAATCTGTCATCAAACACAAGTAATTGAAATTTTGGTTTGACATCCAGTAATTTGTCGTGAGACAAACACGCTTAGAACATTGCTTCAAGATCTTCTTTAACACTTTTACTTCACCAAGATATAGCTACCATACATCCCTCACAATTATTGTTCTTGAAGGGATTGGAAAGCGAGGTTCAAGCTCATTTAACAACTTCTTAAATGCAGGTTTCTCAATAATTTTGAATGACTGCTCATCACAAATAATAAATTCAACAAGAGCTCTTCTACACCTTTTCTCATCATATAAGTAAGTGACTAAAAATTTTCCTTGCACACTTATCCCACCAGATAACAGATCTATCATTGCTTGTTTCTTATCTTTAGTGGCCTTGTGAGGGTTCTTTGAACACTTTGGGATGTGCCTCAACAAAGAATTTGTCCCATGGCGTGATGGATTAGAAGCATAAGTCGTGTGACAATACTTGCATACTGCTCTATGCTCCCCATTAGTTTCTTCTATAGGCAACCTAACAAAGTAATCCCACACCTCTGATGTATGTTTGGGTTCCTTTTCTTTCCTTTTTCGACCCCTTCTCTCAATATCTGTCACTTGTGTGACATGTTCTGTGGGTGTTTGGGTGGGAGGAGCATGAGGGGGAAGACAAGGAGGTGCAGGGGGAGGGACAGATTGAGGGGGAGGGGCTGCTGTTTGTGTAGGAGGAGTATGAGTTAGGGTTTGTGTAGGTCCGGGAGGGGTTGATGAATGGGAAGGTCCAGTAGGGGTTGGTGTTTGAGATGTCCCAGAGGGTGATGCAACTGAAGCTTGATCCTCCATGCTAACATAATAAAATTGCAGAAATAGAACCACAAATTTCATAAAAAGACAAAATCAAGCTTATTATCTAATGATCAATCATATAACAATCACGAAGAAATACACATAACATTAACAGAGATGCAAAAGACTCATTTTGGGATAAAATTTATTTA